CGGGGGCGGGGTAAAACCCGCCCCCGCCCTGCCGTGTTGCCATGCCTAGTAGTTTTTGCTTGCTGACAAACCAAACAAGTTTGAACAAACTGTTTAACATCTTTGTTCATACCCTTCCAATAAAATTTAGTAGATATTCTAGCCAATGTCTGTGTAAAACCAACATGTCCTCCAATCAAGGAGCTATGAAACTCATGCAAAATCTGATTAACTAGATCATGAGATTTGGGAATAACTAGTCTACCTTTCTAGAAAAGCAAATTATCATGCACTGAATAATGAGGATTTGGAGGCTTATTAAGCAAGCATAAGTCTAGAACAACCTTTAATTGAGTATCTTTAGAAACAACTTCTCTCAAAGTAGGCAAAGTTTGTAAATTAGGCTGAGACCAAGCCATAAAATATGATATAGACAGTGAATCTACAACAATATTGTCCTTCCCAGGCTTATATTCAATGATAAAATCATATCCCAATAGTTTGTGCAACCACTTATGTTGTTCTAGGGTTTGAATAACTTGTTCAGTTAAGCTCTTCAAGCCCTTTTGATCCATTTGAATCACAAATCTATGTCAAAGTAGATAATGGCAAAACTTGGTAATAGCTTTTGTGATAGTCACTACAAGAAAAACGCAAATTTCTGACAGAATATTTTCGACGGATATAAAATTTTTGATGAATATTTTCGTTGAAAATTTCCAATATTTCCGTCATAAATTTTCGACGGAAAATTTCCGACAGAAAATTCTGTCAAAATTTTTTGACGGAAATATAAATCCGTCAAAAATTTTCCATGGAAAGTTTCTGACGGAAGATTCCGTCAGAAATTTCTGACAGATTTTTGTTTCCATCAGAAAATTTAAGACTATAACACACTTCCTAATGTCTGTTGTTTGAACTCTTCGTTCAAATATTGAATACAGAGATCCATAAATTTATTAGTGTTTTTACTGACAACAACAATTGTTCAATAATTTTAAGCAGTTCTATCTCAAAATTCTTTGCAGAAAATATTGCTTGAAAGGCTTCTAGTATTCAGGTTGAATTCTTAAGCAACAGGCTTTTGCATACATAATCAAGAAATTGCATGACTAAGTTCCCAACATTACTCCAAATTCGGGAGTCCAAGAGTTTTATAAAACTCTCTTGATGGAAAAAAATATGAATGAAAAATCCTGTTGAATTGAATTGGGTCCATGAATCTAAGAAATAGCAAGAATTCTTGACAGGCTTTTACTGACACCAACAATTGTTCAATAATTTTAAGCAGTTCTATCTCAAAATTCTTTGCAGAAAATATTGCTTGAAAGGCTTCTAGTATTCTGGTTGAATTCTTAAGCAACAGGCTTTTGCATACATAATCAAGAAATTGCATGACTAACTTCCCAACATTACAACAATAGATTTATTTTCATCAAGAGCTTTACTATTTTAAGAAATTCATACCTTTAACATTAGTCTACAGATCACAGTTACAAAGTGTGAGGATCCCAGTTCTTGTCGCTAAAGAGTAAATATAAGCCATGTGTAGTATGCAAAATACAAAATAGAAACACAAATGTATCTAGATATAGCATGCACAGGATGGCAATGGTGCAAAAGGAAAGACTCGGCATAATCATACTATTTGGAAACAATAGAAAGGATCAATATATGTAAATTAAAATAAAACAAATAGAACTTACCTTTAACAATTTATATAAAATTTTTCCTTCAGCTGTCATCCTTTCATACTCTTTCTTCTTCTTAAATCTAAAAAACTTCAGCCATCTTACAACTGCTCTTTTCCCCTTTAGTTTTTTCCTCTTTACTTTGGCATTGCCATCTCCACTAGCACATGGGGCCTTTTCAGAATCCTGATGTTGTTGCTCTACAACCTTGTCGTTATACTTTAGAAATGAATTTGAGTGAAAGCTTATGTTCCCCAAGAAAGGAGATGCTTTCATGTAATAAAGGTGACCAATAATAGATTCCTGGCCACATACCTTGCATATAACATAGCTACAACAGTGTAAGTCAATAATGAAGCAAACTTCTTTTTCTAAATCTTTTGCTTCACATACAAGATTACAAGCTAAACCAAAGAAACCAAAAAAGAAAACCTTCAAAATGATTAGTAGTACAGTGAAATATTATTGCCTTCCAATTTTATTTTATTTTTACTATAAATCTGAGGCTTGTCTTTCTAGCACTCCCATCTTAGTTAAGTTGGTGAAAACACAAGTAAAATAGATAATACATGCA